GGAGGGAGAGTGGGACGGGAGCGGGGGGAAAAAAGGGTCAGGGTCAAATATGTCACCAGAGGAGGGGGAGCACTAGGGACCGAGGCGGCGGGGAATGGAGGAGGTGGAGCGGGAGGGAGGATGGGAGGGGGAGGGAGAAGAGGGGGTGGGATAGTGTCGGACCAGTTGAGGGGCCTGGGAGCAGGGGCGAGAGGGTCAGTGGGGGGAGGAGTGGAATAGTAGGGTGTGGACTCATCAAAGACTACATCCCGACTGCGGAGGAAACGACCTGAGGGGGGGTGAAGGAAGAGGTAGTCCGGGGAGGAGGGATTATGACCAAGGAAGATGCAGGGGAGAGTACGGGAGGCGAGCTTTCCCATGGTGCGGGGCGGTCCGCAGGGTGAATGAGGACATACGCCCTGGAGCCCCACACACGGAGGGAGGAGACGTCAGGCTTGGCCGACGTCCAGAGCTCGGTGGGAGTGGTGGAGGGAAGGATAGGGTGGGGGTACAGGTTAGTAAGGAGGGTGGCGTGAAGGAGGGCATAGCCCCACAGAGAAGGGGGGCAAGAGGCATGGACGAGGAGGCACCGAGCAATCTTGGTGATCTCCCGAACACGGCTCTCGGCCACACCATTCTGCTGGGGGGAGTGGGGGAGGGTGTGAGTCTGGCGAATGCCATGAAGCTCACAGTAGGAGGCTACCTGACGATTAAGGAATTCACCACCGCCATCAGAGTGAAGGCGGCGCACAGGGCGGCCAAAGTGGGTGCTCGCCTGCTTGAGCCAGGCGATGATCGCAGCCGAAGCATCACCCTTCGAGCGAAGAAGGGAGACGGACGAATATCGGCTGTGATCATCGACTAGAACAAGCATGTAGCGATGGCCCTGGCGGGAAGGGGAGGGGTTGGGGCCCCAGAGGTCCATGTGAACAAGATCAAGCGGCTGAGCAGCAGCGGAGGGGAACTCCGATGCGGCAGCTGCTTGAGCTTGCTCTGGACACAGACGGAGCAGGGTGGGGCAAGGGAGGGAGGGAGGGGAGGGAGGGTGAGGGGAAGACCTCGAAGGAGACCTGAGGAGACGGTCGAGCGGAGGGTGGCAAAGTTGGGGTGACCAAGCCTGTGGTGGAGGAGGACGGTGGGATGGGAGAGGGATCGACAGGAGCAGGTTGGGTCAGGGGGAGGGGGGAATGGTTGGGTTAGAAGGAGGGAGAGGAGGGGGAGGGATGTGAGGTGGGGGGAGGGAGCGGGAGACTGCCTGGGCAGAGGGAAGACGAGGAAACTCGAAGGGTATATAGGCGGGAGAGAGGACAAAAGGGAATACGGGAGAGGAGGCGACCTGTGGGATGGTATAGGAGGCAGTGATTAGCGCGACCTGGGAAGACGGTGGTGATACCGGCCTGCTGCAGGGATCGCTGGGAGAGGAGGTTAGTACGGAGGGAGGGGATGTGTAAACCAGTGACGGTACCTGAGGGGAAGAGGGGACAGGGGAGGGTAGAGGTGTGGCGACAGGGAATAGAGAAGCTGGAATCGGCACCAAGGAGGGAGGTGGGGGCTGGGAGAGGGTGAAGGGTACCAGCATCACGAAGGACGGACTCAGTGGCTCCACTGTCAAGGACAAAGTCCAGCGTGGTGGAGGGGGAGGATGTGGGGGAGGAGGTGGGACGGAGTACTGAATCACATTCTCATTAATAGCAGCCGAATACATAGAAGGGGCGGGGGTTCCAGCCTGGCTAACCATGCCAACAAAACCAGAGGAGGGGAAAGGAGTCACACTGCCTGTGGCTGAGGGCGCGGGAGACGCGCCCGAGAGGTGAGCTGCGGAAGCGGCGGTGCCGGCGGTCCAAGCGGGGTAGGGCTGCTGGGGGGAGCCATAGGAGGAGGTGCAAGGGGGAGCTGTGACTGGAGGTCAAGCTGCTGCTGGAGCTGCTGGAGCTGCTGCTGCAACTGGGAGAAGAGGTGCTGCTGCCCCTGCTGCTGCTGCTGCTGGAACTGCTGCTGCTGCTGCTGAAACGGCTGCGGCAGGATCTGCTGCGGAGTCTGCTGCTGCTGCTGATGCTGAGAGACGGCCTGGTGGGCCAAGGGGGAGGAGACGGGCTGAAAAAGAGGGGAGGTACGAACTTCCTGAGGAGTGGGGCGAGGAGAGAGGGAGGACCAGCGGGGGGGGGTGCCGGTGTTGCCGCGGGCAAACCACTCATCACTGAGCGCTTTGAAGCAAGAATCAGTGGCATGAGTGGTCTGGCCGCAGCGCTGACCCCGCGTCGGGCCATAGCGAGGGAGATACTGGCAAGGAGGAAAGGCGGCTGCTGCACCACGTCCTGCGCCATTGCTACCACGACCCGCGCCACCACCACGACCAGCGCCACGCCCACCCCCACGCCCTCCCCTGGTGTTGCGCTGCTGAGCAACAGCGGCAATGGAGGAGGAATGGCGCAAGAGGTCGGCCTCAGTTGTGATAATCCACTGGGCGACTTCAGCCGGGGTGATGCGCTTGTCGATCAGCTGCATGTAGGCGATCTTATGGGTGTCGAAGGCAGGAGTCAAGCCTTCAAGGAGGTGGCAGCAGAGCACTGGGTCCGGGTACGGCACGCCAAGAGCCGCCAAGCGCCGAGCGAGGTCGAGGACGCGACGCGTGAAGGCAGCTGCGCCGGTGGTAGAGTCCATGGTGAGGCTCTGGAACTCCTTGATGAGGGAGTAGAGGGTGGCGACGTCCTGCCGATCATAGAGATCAGTGAGGAGCCGCCAGAGGTGAGAGGAGGAGGTGGGAGCAAGCTCGCGCTTGAGGGTGGGAGGAATGGTGGCGAGGAGGATGGTGAGCGCGCGCCGGTCAGCGACACGCCAGGCAGCGAGGTCGGTGATGTATGCGCGCTCGCGCCTGATGTACTCCGCGAGCGCCGCCTGATACGTGTTGTAGGCGGCAGTGGCGGCGTCATGCTCGGCGCGGGAAGCCTCGAAGAGCAGCTGCTGGCGGACGTGGTCGGTGAGGCCGGCACGGTAGGTGCGGATGGCGGTCTCGGAGCTCTGAGGGTCGTTGACGTCAGGGGCGAAGGTTGGAGGATCGCCGGGGCTGACGGGAGCATCGCCAGGAGGAGGAGGTGCAGGGCCCGCGGGAGCATCCGGCTGGGCAGGCTGAAGACCGCGGTTCTCGAGATGGACAACGGCTTTCAGGTTGTAGCCGTTGACCGTCACTGAGGAGAGAAGCACCGTGACGGTTTGGGCATAGGAATGCCAATTGACCGCGGTGTTGTCGGGAAGCAGCTCAAGAGCGTCGACGGAGGTAAGGTCCACCGAGGAATCGGACGCCATTGAGGAGGAGGGGAAGGAGGGGGGGGGAGGAGGAAAAGGAAAGGAGGAGGAAAAGGAAAGGAGGAGGAGAAGGGGGGAGGGAGGAGAAGGATAGGTGCGCGGAGCGCAGCTCTTAAGTCGCCGAAGGCTGCGCGACGCGCTCCAAGGAAGATGCGGCGGCCGGCTGCACGCCAAAATGGCGCGACGAACGGGTGCACGCGACGGCAGAATCGACGACGGGCGGGCGCACGCGGCGGAGAAATCGACCAACGGCCGTGCGCGCGCGGCGACCGAAAGGCGACGGGCGCGGTGGGAGAATTTGTCGACGGGCGTGCGCGGGAGCCGTGATGGTCAGGCGCGCGGAGAGCGCGACGGACGGGTGCGCGCAAACGCGGAAGGCGCGCGACGGGAGGGCGCGACGGGAGGGTGCGACGACGGGCCGCGCGACGGAGGAGCGCACCAACGGGCGCAGTAGAAGGATGCGACGGCTAGAAGCGCGTCGTCAAGCGCGACGGGAGGCGCACGACGGAAGGGAGAGCGGGCGCGGCAAAAAGGCGCGGGACAGGAGGAAGAGCGGGCGCGATGGAATAGCGCGGCGGGAGAGGGCGCACGGGGGGCGCGGGAAGGAGCCTTAAGGAAGGGCTAGGCTTCGAAGACGAGGAGGGACGGCATACGGCCGTGCTAGTTAGGATCGACTAGAGGTGGCGTGAGCCATTGTAGCTCTGAATACCATGAAGGAATTAGCTTGGAAGAGAAAAGATTGAATTGAGTAGGGAGCCAAGAGGCTCTTTTGTACAAAACAAGGAGCAAGAAAGAGTTGGAAGGGATGCTCTCCTATTGGCCATAAAGTGGACCAATGGGAGAGGTTGCTTGTAGGGCAAGCAACCACAAAGTGTGGTGCTCTCCGATTGGCCACAATGTGGACCAATGAGAGAGATTGCTTGGAAGGCAAGCAACCACAAAGTGTGGTGCTTGGTGATTGGTTGGTTCCTAGGACCAAGGACCATTTGGTTGGAATAGTGCCAACCAAATGTCTAGGACCAAATCCAATCTTGACCAACCCAAATGTGGGGTTGGTCAACCCAACCAACAACCCCCAATAATTAGAATGACTACACCTCCTAATCTAGGCATGCATGTTGTATAGATATATATTTTACAACACAGCCTGCAAGACCTCTGCCTCCCAGCCCTCTGACTGCCAGCCCTCTGCCTCCCAGCCCTCTGCCTGCCAGCCCTCTGCCTGCCAGCCCTCTGCCTGCCAGCCCTCTGCCTGCCAGCCCTCTGCCTGCCAGCCCTCTGCCTCCCAGCCCTCTGCCTGCCAGCCCTCTGCCTGCCAGCCCTCTGCCTGCCAGCCCTCTGCCTCCCAGCCCTCTACCTCCCAGCCCTCTGCCTCCCAGTCTTCTGCCTCCCAGCCCTCTGCCTCCCAACCCTCTGCCTCCCAGCCCTCCGCCTCCCAGCCCCCTGCCGCCCAGCTCTCTCCCTCCCAGCCCTCTTCCTCCCAGCCCTCTGCCTGACAGCCCTCTGCCTGACAACCCTCTGCCTGCCAGCGCTCTGCCTGCCAGCCGTCTGCCTGCCAGCCCTCTGCCTCCCAGCCCTCTGCCTGCCAGCCCTCTGCCTCTCAGCCCTCTGCCTCCCAGCCCTCTGCCTCCCAGCCCTCTGCCTCCCAGCCCACTGCCTCCCAGCCCTCTGCCTGCCAGCCATCAGCCTTCCAGCCCTCTGCCTCCCAGCCCTCTGCCTTCCAACCCTATGCATCCCAGCCCCCTGCCTCCCAGCCCTCTGCCTCCCAGCCATCTGCCTCCCAGCCCTCTGCCACCCAGCCCTCTTCCTCCCAGACCTCTGCCTCCCAGCCCTCTGCCTCCCAGCCCTCTGCCTTACAGCCCTCTGCCTGCCAGCGCTCTACCTCCCAGCCCTCTGCCTGCCATCCCTCTGACTGCCAGCCTTCTGCCTGCCAGCACTCTGCCTGCCAGCCCTCTGGCTGCCAGCCCTCTGCCACCCAGCCCTCTGACTGCCAGCCCTCTGCCTCCCAGCCCTCTGCCTGCCAGCCCTCTGCCTGCCAGCCCTCTGCCTGCCAGCCCTCTGCCTCCCAGCCCTCTACCTCCCAGCCCTCTGCCTCCCAGTCTTCTGCCTCCCAGCCCTCTGCCTCCCAACCCTCTGCCTCCCAGCCCTCCGCCTCCCAGCCCCCTGCCGCCTAGCTCTCTCCCTCCCAGCCCTCTTCCTCCCAGCCCTCTGCCTGACAGCCCTCTGCCTGACAACCCTCTGCCTGCCAGCGCTCTGCCTGCCAGCCCTCTGCCTGCCAGCGCTCTGCCTGCCAGCCCTCTGCCTGCCAGCCCTCTGCCTCCCAGCCCTCTGCCTCCCAGCCCTCTGCCTCCCAGCCCTCTGCCTCCCAGCCCTCTGCCTCCCAGCCCTCTGCCTCCCAGCCCTCTTCCTCCCAGCCCTCTGCCTGCCAGCCCTCTGCCTGCCAGCCCTCTGCCTGCCAGCCCTCTGCCTGCCAGCCCTCTGCCTCCCAGCCCTCTGCCTGCGAACCCTCTGCCTCCCAGCCCTCTCCCTGCCAGCCCTCTGCCTGCCAGCCCTCTGCCTCCCAGCCCTCTGCCTGCCAGCCCTCTGTCTCCCAGCCCTCTGGCTGCCAGCCCTCTGCCTGCCAGCGCTCTGCCTCCCAGCCCTCTGCCTCCCAGCCCTCTGATTGTCAGCCTTCTGCCTCCCAGCCCTCTGCCTCCCAGCCCTCTGCCTGCCAGCCCTCTGCGTGCCAGCCCTCTGCGTGCCAGCCCTCTGCCTCAAGCCCTCTGCCTCCCAGCCCTCTGCCTCCCAGCCCTCTGCCTCTCAGCCCTCTGACTGTCAGACCTCTGCCTCCCAGCCCTCTGCCTTACAGCCTTCTACCTCCCAGCCCTCTGCCTGCCAGCCCTCTGCGTGCCAGCCCTCTGCCTGCCAGCCCTCTGCCTGCCAGCCCTCTGCCTCCCAGCCCTCTGCCTGCGAACCCTCTGCCTCCCAGCCCTCTCCCTGCCAGCCCTCTGCCTGCCAGCCCTCTGCCTGCCAGCCCTCTGCCTGCCAGCCCTCTGCCTGCCAGCCCTCTGCCTGCCAGCCCTCTGCCTGCTAGCCCTCTGCCTCCCAGCCCTCTGACTGCCAGCCCTCTGCCTCCCAGCCCTCTGCCTCCCAGCTCTCTGCCTGCCAGCCCTCTGCCTCCCAGCCCTCTTCCTGTCAGCGCTCTGCCTCCCAGCCCTCTGCCTGCCACCCCTCTGCCTCCCAGCCCTCTGCCTCCCAGCCCTCTGCCTCCCAGCCCTCTGCCTCCCAGCCCTCTGCCTCCCAGCCCTCTTCCTCCCAGCTCTCTGCCTGCCAGCCCTCTACCTGCCAGCCCTCTGCCTGCCAGCCCTCTGCCTGCCAGCCCTCTGCCTGCCAGCCCCCTGCCTGCCAGCCCACTGCCTGCCAGCCCTCTGCCTGCCAGCCCCCTGCCTGCCAGCCCTCTGCCTGCCAGCCCTCTGCCTCCCAGCCCTCTGCCTCCCAGCCCTCTGATTGTCAGCCTTCTGCCTCCCAGCCCTCTGCCTCCCAGCCCTCTGCCTGCCAGCCGTCTGCATGCCAGCCCACTGCCTGCTAGCCCTCTGCCTGCCAGCCCTCTGCCTCCCAGCCCTCTGCCTGCGAACCCTCTGCCTCCCAGCCCTCTCCCTGCCAGCCCTCTGCCTGCCAGCCCTCTGCCTCCCAGCCCTCTGCATGCCAGCCCTCTGCCTCTCAGCCCTCTGCCTCCCAGCCCTCTGCCTCCCAGCCCTCTGCCTCCCAGCCCTCTGCCTGCCAGACCTCTGCCTGCCAGCCATCAGCCTGCCAGCCCTCTGCCTCCCAGCCCTCTGCCTGCCAGCCCTCTGCCTCGCAGCCCTCTTACTCCCAGCCCTCTTCCTCCCAGCCCTCTGCCTTCCAACCCTATGCATCCCAGCCCCCTGCCTCCCAGCCCTCTGCCTCCCAGCCATCTGCCTCCCAGCCCTCTGCCGCCCAGCCCTCTTCCTCCCAGACCTCTGCCTCCCAGCCCTCTGCCTCCCAGCCCTCTGCCTGCGAACCCTCTGCCTCCCAGCCCTCTCCCTGCCAGCCCTCTGCCTGCCAGCGCTCTGCCTGCCAGCCCTCTGCCTGCCTGCCCTCTGCCTCCCAGCCCTCTGCCTCCCAGCCCTCTGCCTCCCAGCCCTCTGCGTGCCAGCCCTCTGCCTGCCAGCCCTCTGCCTCGCAGCCCTCTTACTCCCAGCCCTCTTCCTCCCAGCCCTCTTCCTCCCAGACCTCTGCCTCCCAGCCCTCTGCCTCCCAACCCTCTGCCTGACAGCCCTCTGCCTCAAGCCCTCTGCCTCCCAGCCCTCTGCCTC